GTGGTGAAATATGTCAACCAGTGGTGCTTTCCAATGCAAACAAACTCGTTGTTATGACGTTAGCCCGCTAAATTGAGGTGCCAAGGTAATGCTATGTGGTTGCAAAAGTGTTCTAAGTAGTTTTTAGCTTCTTCCTATGCGGTTGTTAGGGTCTGTCGAAATGGCTTGGGTCCTTCAATGTGCGTCTTTGGGATTTTGTCACCCGCCTTATGATCCAGCAGGGAAAAACAGGAACATCACACCTGTTCTCAACAACACACATGATTTGAGGAGTCATTCATGTCTAGAGTGAAAACGTCTTAGTTTAAAGGCACACTGAGTCCGAAATTTTAGTATGCGTTTTTTCGTATTCGTGATTCGGTGGCTCTGAATTGTCAAAACACCTATATCCTGATTTGCCACGGCGAGTTCGAGAAAAAAAAAAGGACATCGGCCGTGATGCAGATTAGAGGAACTGATCTGATATCAGCTTCTGCCGCGCACATGTGTGGAGGGGGAATAACTGAGCCAGGCCCCAGCTGCTGGGTGACACTTCACATACATACATTTCTCTTTGTACAGACCTCTGGAATTAACCCAAACCCACAATGGCATCACATCAGAAAGGAGCGCAGGAAAGTCTGACTTTATTATCCGTCTCTGTGGACATTTTCATGCGGAGGGATAAAGCTCTGTAACGGCTGTCTGCTGTTTATTAGGAGCAGCACAAGACAATAGCAGCCTCGGGGAAGGGTCAGACAGTCCGTTCTCGGTGTGTGTTAGGCTTCGGAGGAACGGTCACCGGGAAATGTGCAGACATATACTGTAGCAAACACTCCAAAATACAAATGCCCGCGTAACACCTTTGCTACCGGTCGAGTGTTTGTTTGATTGATTTGTGTTACAGTTTTAAAACCCAAATGTTCAAATCCATCCAAAATTATTTATTTTAAACATTGCCAATAAATTAGCAAACAATTTGTAACCAAGGTGTAAGGTTACATGAGTGATGACCTTTGACCCTCATTATTTTATATGATATGTTATTAGGTTTTTGTTTATGACAACATAAATTCTATGAATTGTAACTGTCTGATGAAAGTGATGAATTGTCTGCCTCCTTAATGTATGGAATGAGATTGAGGATGAATATAATCCTGTAAACAATGTATCTTTAATTACTAACCTTTAGATTTTTCTGGAATTTTATCATGGAATGGCATGACTATTTTCTTGCCTATATTCATAATATTTTTCTTAATAATGATATACTGTATATATATATATATATATATATATATATATATATATATATATATACAATGCATGTATATTTAAGAAACAAATATTATTTATATAAAATATTTATATTTATTTATAATATAAATTATACAAAAATCTATATACAGTATAAATACATGAAAATATTTCTTAAATATATACAAGCATGTGTGTGCATTTACATTTAAAATAATTATACACAGTGCACCCACATATATTATGTAAACACAAACTTTTATTTTGGATGCGATTAATCGTTTGACAGCCCTAAACATATTTAATTATATTTTTAAAATTTCCTGACCTAATTATTTATTTATTACATACATTTTAAAAAGATGTTTTTGTGACTGAATGTATCACAATTGTGAAGACAACTTTGAAGGCGATTTTCTCAATGTTTAGATTTTTTTGCACCCTCAGATTCCAGATTTCCAAATAGTTGGTTCTTGGCCAAATATTATCCTATCCTAACAAAACATAGGCCTACACTAATGGAAACCTGATAAACATGTACAGTCGATAAACATCAATAAATAAATGATTTATTCAGGTTACAGATGATGTATATATCTAGAAAAGACCTTTTTGATTGGTTTGATTAATCACGATTAATTGTTGCAAAGCCCTTACATACATCCAGACCTATATCGCAGTTGTAACCCTTATAACCCTCTCTCTCTCTCTCTCTCTCTCTCTCTCTCTCTGTGGAACCAGGGGCCCTGCCTCATCCGGTGGCATGTTCTACAACAACCCATCGCTCCTGGGATGAAAAGACGATGACCAAGGTATTCGTTCAATTCAACCTCTATTGTTGTTTTGGAAACAAGGAACAGCGAAGTAGTCAAACCATAACATGGTGTATGGCAAGTGTGGATGTGTGTGACTACTGGACTCCCCGACTTGCAGTTCCCAGCAGGGCCCGACCATTGTTGAAGGTATTCACCCAGTGCACTCATGAAACTAGATAAATGGATTAGTTCTTCAGAGATACTGGCGGCATCTTCAAAAAGACAACACCGTGGGGCGGTTCGGAGGGGGGGCGTTTGTGTCGCAGGGCGGGGGTGCGTGGATGACCTGTTTCTGCCAAAAAGACAAGACAGTGATAAACTTTCCTCTCTCTTTTACACTGTGACAGAGACACAAGCATCATGGGAGAGAATCACTCCTACTATGTGGGAGCAACAGTTTATGTGCCTATAGTATGTTGCGTTATTTATTATTCCTATTGGATGGCATTCATTTCCTTCTGAACACATCACACAGCGTTTGTCTTTCAAATAAGATTATGATAATAATATAAATGATTATCTTGATTTTTTAACCCCTGTCTCATGTTTATTTCTATCCCTCCCACACTTGCATGTCCTTTTATTCTCTAACGTCGTTTTTTTTTTTTTTTTTTTTTTTTTTTGGCTGTCATTTATTGCTCGGGGCGGCATGTGACAGTAGCTGAAGTGTCAGAGTAATTATGGGTTCCAGCCCCGTTTATTTCTCGTTAGACAATTGACTGTACATCAAGTACAGAATGAGTAATTACGTGTGCATTAGCGAATCCCACCCCGATGGCCTCCAGCACTAACCCCATGCTAGTACAGGACAAAAGATATAAATGAAACACCGGGAGGTTATTTCATCTCAAACACAACAAGCGCACCAAAGAGAGGAAGACGAAATAACGAGCAGATCTGAAACGCGCACACCTGCCTTGACCTGACCTCTGTTTATCAAGGGACAACTTTTGATCACTGCAATTATAATAATTATAATAGCCTAATAATAATAATTATTATTATTGCTATACAGAATTAGGATATAATTCGTTTAAGGTCGTTTCTTGTTAACATTTTATGCAGTGCCGATTCCGAACTGAATTAACCTAGCCTACTTATTTGTTTCTTTCAAGTCGGTTAAGGCGTGATTCGTTCAAAACTGTTAGTACAACGATAATGATGATTATAATAATAATAATAATAATAATAATATATGATAACAATAATATGTACTGGTGTGATTTATTTGTTCTCTTCAAATAAAGTCGAGGATAGCCTAAACTTACACATGACCGGCCTATATTATTTACTTTTTCGTTAATATTTTTGGTTGTTTAATGTTACTAATATAACAATAAAAATAAAATAAAAATAAAATAAACAAATAGCCTAAATTAAAATAATATAGGCCTATTTAAACAAAACAAATCTTACAAAGCACATCTCGCCTATTTCGATCGCATATTTTAAATCAGTCTTGTCGTTATTGTTGGAGCTTTTGAAGTTTTATTATATTTTTACTTGACTGCTGAAATGTAAAAGAAAAAACACTTTGATCGTTTTAGTCCAAACACGACGCAAATGTGACCCATGATTTGATCCAATGTTATTGGAATAAAATGTAAGATATCATTTCTGTATTCGGTATTTCAAAAAGGCTGTTGATTCAACGTGTATTCGATTATTTTCTCATCTGAAATGTCTGTAGTTTCATGGGGGGAAAAATGTTCAGTGATTTTTATGATTTCCGCTGTCTTTTTCCATGTAAACCAGCTGTAATGACTCTACCGGTCTATAGAGGTCGCTGCAAGCTTTCGTTTATTTGCAATTCGGCAAATTCTGGTTTCAGGCATCAATAGAGTTTTAAATATCTTTTATAATATTGATCTGATAATATACTTTGAAATTCTATGTAATTGTTATTATTTTTACCTACATGTTCAATTTATATTAGTTGTTGTTATTGCTTTTTGCTTTACATACTATACCAGAATGCCTTGTATTTGTCTTGTACTTTTTGCATTGTACTTTCCCAATTGAACTAATATATATAGTTAATAAAAATAGTTTTTAATGGAACAGGAAAATCTGAGGGCAAGTTTAACGTAAATATGCAGGCTATAAACAAACAATGCCACAAAAAATTAAATAATCAATTAAAATGTAATTGCCAAAACAGCTGTAATAATTCTAGGCTATATTAACATTTTGTTTGTAGTTTTTGTAGTCACAATTTAAACGCTCTGGCTCAGACTTTTTGAGGAGTTTTTATGTTTGAATAATCGAACTTGAAAATTAAATTTCGCTTCCAAACAAATAATGTCTGCCAAATGTTATGCAATTTGAAACGGCAATACTATTTGGCTACGGTTTAAATCTGTAATATTGTGAAACTTTTAATGATTCGTTTATAAATTGTAAACAACACGAGCGGTAGTGTCTCATGCTGATGACGCAGATAGGCCTCAATCCACACTCCCTCTGAACTGAATGTCACTCTCCTCAACACATTAATAATTTATTATCGTATCGAGTTTTTTTTTTCTTCCTCTGACAGATTAGATTTTAACCATTTGATTTTGTTTGCACAGGGCGTTCCCACATTATTACTTAATGATATTCCCAGCTGCTTCGGTCCATTTTCCGCCGCCAGCAGCCATCTGGTCTCTTATTAGCACCTCAATGCATTTGCAGCAGCTCCATTTAACAATTGAATCTGAACACTCCCGCAAAATATTTCCAGATCCATTTTGGGCCTCATGCATCTAAATAACCGACAGCTTTCCCCCGCTTTTAAGAGCATTCGTTATTATAACTTTATATTATTAATAATTAAATTATATTATGATGGATTTATTAACACACACAATAAAAAATAAAAATAAAATGAAAAAGACTAAATGAAACGTAACGTCACTAAAAAAAATTAACCTTTCAAAAAGCAAACCAAAACACATAAAAACCCTCTTTGCATGTGTCTATAATTTCATTTAGTTTATTAGACAAAATATATGATCTGGACAAACTCCGTCAACTCACTATTTACAAATGTGGGTCACCTTAAAGGAAAACACCAACACATAAAGACAAAATAAGCCTACCAATGTCCCACGGTAAGGAAGGGATCACAGGTGTCATTATATACATCTCCACCGGGTGCTAATCAAACTCGGGCATTTGTTTTAGAGTAACTGAATGCTATGCTGAATTGATTTCGTTTTCATTGTCCCATTATGAGTGCCATCAGTCCTTTTTGCGGGGCAAATGTCTTGATCAAGCGGAAGAGAGAGCTGTTAGGACCCTCTGTGTTGATTCCTGCTGGTTTCTTGGGCTGTGAACACACAACACACACACACACACACATAATTGTTATATCATTTCCTTAAAAACATCGAGGCAATTCACTGTTAGCCACACATCAATGTCCTGAACGTTATAATACAGCAATTACTTATATGATAACGGATCTATAGTGTGTCTATATATATATATATATATATACACACACAAATATATACAAAAGCAGTAGCCTATTTGTTTCGGTGTAGAATAGAGACTTTTAATACCATGCTATTTACCAACAAATCCACTAGCGTAACTAATAAAATATAAGCCAAGTCCAAAAAAAAAAAAAAAAAAAAAAAAAAGGTTCTGCTAAAATTGTGGCACTTAAAAGGGGCAAGTTTTCAGCAACACTGCTCCCCCGGGGTTCACTTTCCCCAAGGGTCTTTAGGAAAGGCACACAACCCCGGTGACTTGATAAGTAGTTATTCTCCAGAGAGGCATAGAGAGTGTGTGTGTGGGGAGGGGGATTCGTGGCCTTTTGTCACCAGGAAAAGCACAACTATTTATTATAAGCGCTAAGCGCAAGATTTTTCTCTGTCTGTCTGTTAGGAACCTGTATCCCAAGAGTCTGTCTCCCATAATAAAAACAACCGTTCGCTGTTGCATGCATTTCATCTGGTATAACGATGGCCTACTAATACTAGGCCAGCTATTATTATTATTATTAATAATAATCATAATAATAATAAAGCATATAAATGTACCTGTCGTGAAGAGGACGAAACGATGACTTTAAAGGTTGCGTTGGCGATTCATTTCTGATGACATTTTCACGATCTGAGAATTAGAAAACAAAACCAAACGTTGGAATTAGATTGGAATTAAATGCGCAGCATTATTGTCCAGATTCGTTATTAGCTATCTATTGTTATTACTTTATTATTATATATAATTTATACTGGGTAACAAAAAACTACAATACCAATAGCTCTAATAATAAACAAATAAAATGAACAATAGCAACCTTTAAAATGGCACTGCCACATTTGTGCATATACACAGGCCTGTTGTGATTAGTGCATACCTATGTGTTTTGGACTGAGGTCTTCTGGCGCCTTGTCACTGTTCGCGGCTGCCAGGGTCGAGGCCTGCTGCTGCTGCTGTGAGTGAACAGGGTGATTATGATTATGATGATGCTGATTGACGCCCAAGAAAGATCGGACGTTCAGCAGGGAGTTTTGGCCCAGAAACGCGCCATTTGTCCAGTTGTGGAACTTCCCAATCTGGCACGTGTACAGTCCGTGGTTGGGCAGGAAGGCCGGGTGTGTGCCCGCGGGAGTGGCGGGAACAGAGGGTGACGTAGGTTTTTGCGAGCTATCTGGACTGGTTGCGGTTTCTGCTAACGACCATATTTTGGGCTTATTGCTAACCGGAACTTGAAAACCTCCCTGTCGGCCCGGTGACAGAACCCTGGTGTTGTTGTTGTTTCCGTCAGACGGCTCTTTGCCGGCAGAAATGACGTTTGATTTGGATTTCTCGAAGGCCTCGTGAGCCTCCAGCGCGAGCGCGCGCCGTTTCTCCCGCAAGCTCTCGAGCTCCCCGCGCTTTTCCTCATCCTCCTCGTTGCTTTGATCTCCGTCGTTGTCGTCAATCTTATCGATATCTATGCTCTCCAAATCTATTTCCTCTTCATCTTCGTTCTTTTCGGCGTCCCCCTCAGTATCGCTCCCAAATATAATATTGCCATCTTCGTCTTCTTTACTTCTGGCGCCCCATGTCACCTTGTTCTCCTTCTTGAGTCTCCTTCTGGCGTTGGCGAACCAGGTGGACACTTGCGTGAGGGTCATCTTGGTGATGATGGCCAGCATGATCTTCTCGCCTTTGGTGGGATAGGGGTTTTTCCTGTGCTCGTTGAGCCAGGCCTTCAGAGTGCTGGTACTCTCCCGTGTGGCGTTTTTAGGCCTGGAAGGGTCTCCATACTGGAACTGGCCGTAGGGATAGAAGGCAGGGCTCGTGTGGGCAGCAAAGCTCGCAGGGTGAACGCCAGGGCTGTCTTTTAAATCATACTGAGATCCCTACAATTAGGTTGACAAGAGGAGGAAAAAAAAAAAAAACAATACATCAGACACGTTGAATTTCATACACACAACAAAGCGTGCAAAATAATTCTGGATCACGCTGTCAAATCCCGTTTCTAAATTCCACTTTTATCCAAAATCTTGCAAATAATCAATCATGTCTTTATTAATTTGTCCTCTCCAGAAATCGTGCGAGTTTTGTTTTGTTTTTGCAATAAAGTTTGTCCCCCGACCTTTTATAAACTAATATTTATTTTGACCTTTGACCAACATTGCTATATAAAAAGCTAGGCCACATATAGTGATGACACAAAAAAATAATTAAAAGAATATCCTAAAATATTACCCATATTATTGGCATTCTGGAAAATAAGAAAGAACACGGCCAATGTTGGCCAAAATTACCACATTATTTCGAATCCGATGTGTGATTTAATTTAAGGTTCGCTCGTGATGTAGCCTACAGGCCTTAAACTATTCCCAATGTTATTATTAGCTTATTATCCATATAGAGTCAAACAAAAACACGACAAATACTGCAGTGTTTCTTATTAATCGAAAGAAGTGTGAGGGGAAAGTATTTTATAAGATTTAAATGCTTTTTATATGGTTTTAATTGATGTTCCTTGCACAAGAGATTCATGCACATAATGTGGACACAATTTGTAATTATTTGTTACAGGTTAGCGAAATACACAACTGATTAATACACAACTTTCAATATCTATCTTTTTCGGAAATGCAACGAGATTCCTATTTTGTGAAGTCACATATCATTTGTCAAAACAACTATTTTTGTCACTTTTATTATCATTCATATTTAAAATTTACTACAAGTCATGAAGACATCACACAGTGAACTGTAAAGTAGTTTCCGAGCCAGAAAGACCGTTTAAAACAATAATTCATTTTGCATTGTTTCCAACGTGAAACGCAAAGTTCTCGATCGAAACAACTTACATGATTTATTAAATGCAAATTCAGCTGAATAACAATTATAGCATGTTTTAAATATAGCAATTTGGAAATTACACGATTCGTGCTATTATTTTTAAACACCCGCACAACAATTCTTTAACTCAAACACGACCCAGCCGACAAACTTTTCTTTTAAAATGGCGGTCGGAAAGATATTTTAAATTGTATTCGTGCCAAATCTGCAATCCAATTCTAACAGACTAGAATAAATGTTAAAAGCTGTGAGAAACTTCTCATGCATATTGCAAGCTTCAGCTGCTTTAACCTGGCTTGTGCGGCAATCCCAAAAACGCTCGCAGAAAAAAAAAGCAATAAAATACAGAGAAAAAAAGCGTCAGCTTTGTAGAATATGTGCTTTGCTTACCATTTGGGAGAAAAGAGCCAAATCGGCGCTGGTGTAAGGCAGAAAGGCGCTGTAGTTGTGTGCGTACGGGTACATGCCCAACACCGAGGACACGGCAGCGGCCGCCGCGGACGCGCTTCCCCCGATCTCTGCGCTCCCTCCGCGGGACGACGGAGTTAACACTCCCGGGCGATCGCCTCCGTACACCGCCTGGGAGGCACTCAAATACTGCGGGTAACCCAGCTGGGGGAAAGACATCTCCTTCGCCACGTCGGAAGCCAAAACAGGGCAAAAACAAATAGCCCACCAAAGCAAGAAGTGAAAGAGTTTCTCTCTCTCTCTCTCTCTCAGGCAGCACCGAATGAGAATGGGAAATGCTCGTCTTTAAATCTCAGCTTCTCTTTTGCGGCAAGTCCGTCGGATGTGATCAGATCAACAATTGAGCTCCAACTGATGTCTCTGCCCCTAGGTCCTGGGCTGATCTCTCAGATACAATTTGAAGTTGATGCTTTGATTGGCGTCCCAGGCTCCTCCTCGTTGGCGCATGTGGTTAGTGCATTGGCCAGGGCCACTTTTGCTCTGTTTGGAGGATTGTATGTTAAATGTTTAGCATTAGAATCCATTCACTGTAGTGTGACAACCTGTCTACACGATTTTACAGCTGCCCAGCACTGGGGAAATGAACTGATAGGCACGCGGAACTTATTTTGAATGGCTCATAATTCTTATAAACACTGGAGAATTAAAGCAACACTCGCGATGACACTGATCTTCATAAGGTATTGACGATCAAACAACTGTATTCTTTTGAAGGTGCTTTTTTTGTGCAGAGAGTGATTGCTAAAATTGTGTACAGGATTTTACACATTTGGCAAAAAAACAACAACAACTCTGATTTGAATTATTCAAATGGAGCACTTTATTGTTTTGTTTGGGTGAGCTTAAATAATTAAAGATATGGATTTCTACTCTAAACCTCATGGATTTTTTTTATTATCTCCTTTATTATTATTATTATTATGTTGGTTTCTAATGCATGGACTTTCTATATTTATGCGCGACGACAGCTTATAACTATATATATTTTTTTGGTAAATTTATTTGTTTTCGATATTTGCAATCAGTAAATGTGTGTCAATTAGTTTAAAACATTATAGCACGTTTTTCTTTCCATTTCTTCCCTCCCTCTCTCTCTCTCTCTCTCTCTCTCTCTCTCTCTCTCTCTCTCTCTCTCTCTCTCTCTCTCTCTCACACACACACACACACACTCTCTCTCTCTCTCTCTCACACACACACTTATAACCCAGAGGCACTTACAAGCATACTCACGGGGGTGGGGGCGTTGGGGACTTTGTATTTATGTTTCATTGTTAAATACTGAACGAGGTGATGTCGTGAATAATCATGAGCACTTCATTAACATGCACACAAGCCCCATTTAGCTAACCCCCCCTCCCCAAAACTATTAATACCACTAATAATAGTCGTGACAGATAAAGGGATCGCCTGTGGTCTAACAGTTTATGATTTTAATGTGTGTGTGTGTGATAACAATGATCTCACTAATCCAATCACATCTTTACCAAAATGCCCCTACTAAACATAATGAACTTGCTGCTCATCTGTTTTATAGGAAACATATAACAAAATGATATTCCTCAGAAACGGGAGAAAATGTAGACTTCTCTACAAAATGTGATTTTCGAAATTATTATTATTACATTGTAAACCTTTCTTTATTGCTATATTATTTCATTGTAAACTAAACGCAACTTGTAAATGGAATTTGCAGCTTTTATTATTTGAATTTAGTCAATAAAAGCATTAAATTAGCGGTTTGATTGATCCGAACCGAGAGCGGTTGAGCTCGGGCTCTTGATTCGCTCCTCGTGTCCAGGGTCCGGGACTCGCTCGGTCACGAGGTCGCTGCTCAAGCGCTTCTAAAGTTGTGCTCGTTGAAAGGATATAGTGGATTTATTAGTTTAACGGCTCAGATGAAGCCAGCGATTGTGATCTGCCCCAGATGGCCGCGAGTGGAGGATCTGTTGAAAATATCTGAGGGCACTGATGCCAATCTGAGGAACACATCAGACAGAAGGAGGAATGGCACTGGCGATAACCCGCTGGAAACGCGCACAGCAGAAGATCATGCAGATATGACAGAAAATATCTCTAAACGACGAAGACAGAGACGTTAAGAAAGGACATTCAATCTTGAGAAATGTGGTAGAGGAAAGTTATTTAAGGTTCTTGTTTGCCTTTTATTTAATGAACATGCAAAATAAGGAATGTAATTTATTTACTGCAAAATGCATTTCGTACATATGAATACTCTGAATATGAATATTTTAAACAGTTTTTTTTTTTTTTGGAGGTGAGAATCTCAAATTTCCGTTTTTCGGGTAAACGGAGGAAATAAATTGAAAAGGGGTTGAAGTTTGACCCTCGTCAAACAATGGCACGTGTAATCTATGGGCAATAAAGCGTGTTCACACTTAACTGATTTATGGGGCTTGTTAAAGTCCCATTATCAGTTTCCCTGCAACAGCAAGAGACCGATGCTGTGTACGACATGGATTTTTAAAAAGAAATCACACTTGTCTTAATATACTTTTTTGTCTAATATATGTTTCTCTATAGATATGTGCAATGTGAAAATTATGATAGGCATGCGTGTATATACACACATCTATAAATTATGGAAAATACACTATGCCCTTAAGCAAGCTCTCATTTTTCTGCTCTTCCTCTGTCATATAAGAAACCTTAGCTTAGCAGAACAGTGATTACAGTGGGTGAATTCTGCATATTTCAAAGGTTGAGGTTTTTTTAGGAGGGAAAAAAACAAACATTTTTAGACTTTTACACCATTTCAAAACAACAACAAGTCGGCACACATTTTCATGGTGTGCAGTGCATTGCGTGCTATTTTATATTCAGAATCTGAAAGATTTCAGGTTTTCTGTACACTGCTGTCTAAGTGTCATTTTAACATAAAAACTGCTGTCTGTCCATGCTTTCCCATTAATGCACGAATGGATTCCCACTATTTCTTTCCTTTCGGAGCATTTCTGTCATCTGCATGCGAGCTTCATGAGACACATCTTGCAGTGCAGACTTCTGTTTGTGTTTGGATTTCATAGAAGTCAAAAATCAATGCGTTTCTCAAGCATGTCAATGTACATTCTTTAAGTACAGGTGTAGGGCAATTCTTACAACACTGTGAAACTCATGTAGCACAAACGAAAGCAGGGAATGGCATTCAACTAAACTGTCAACTTTAAACAGCCAAAAGCAATGAGATCAAAGGCATGCGCTGGAGTCTCTTCTCTCTCTAGATTACAGCCCTAACGGTTTGAACCCTTAATGCTATTAAAGGGAACCAGGACATCTCTCCCAACCATGGTTACTGAGTAAATCCCCTCTGGACTCAAAGATGACCAGAGCCAGACTTGAGTCAGCAGTGGTCAAATCAAGCTTAAACAGAGTTTGATATTTAGGGTTTTCTGGAGAAACGTTGCACTGTTTGCATCCCAGCTCGTGACGAATTACGGCAAGGCTTCACGTGTGTAATCACGAATAATCACTGCATGACATGCCCATAACATAACCCTAATTTTCCTCATGAATACAAATATGCATGTTTAAACAAAAAAAAAAAAACTGTTCCAGTGAACTTTTATCAAGGGTGGAATCATATCTAATGAAAATGGTCCTTCAGCAGTTCTGGGAATGTGTTGAGATTATCAGCGTTTGGGAAGTTTATCACGTCAGCGTCCTGCTGGACCACACATGATTGTCCCCTATTGTCCTCCTCTGTCTTCGGCAAGTTGACATGAGGTTAAAAATCTCTGGTATGCCCCTCTCGCCCAGGAGAGATTAACAAATTATATGTGCTGAAATCTACTCCGGCTAAATTCGGAAGAAAGCTCTTACCACCAACCATCACAATGTGCCGTTCGTTCCCAGCCCACAAATAACATTTATCCAATAACTCCAAATCTCCCCCAACACTGCAATAAACCAGAGAGCAGTTAAATGCCTTATTAGAGTCCTGCTCTAGGAATTTGATAGGAATGCTTGTACCACACCCAGGTACGGAAAGAGGGAATTTCAGGCTTATAAAAGACGTGTGTGGAAGTGTCATAAGGCCAGAGTGCAGTGTGTGTGTGTGGCTGACAGCACAGCATATGGAAGGAGATTTTACCTCGTTGTAGCGACACCTTGGCAGTGAATCTTCTACACTACTGGGCATCTGCTAGTTTGGCACTTGCCTACAAACTTTCCACTCCATCGCAAATTTGGGCCCAAAGTAGATAATTGTTACATTTTCCTGTGACTTGATTGTTTTCTGTGCGTGATAACTTGATTCATTTTCCTGTTCTCTTTATTTTTATTTTTGATTAGACGACAAAATGATATTTTTGACATTAAAACGGACACGAGTGAAAATATAATACATTCAAAAATATAATTAATGTTTTTAAATCTTTTTTTTTCTTCACATGACAGCAATAACAACCATTATTGTAAACAAGTGTAATTTATTTCAACATATATATGATCAATGCTAAGCATTTTTTTAAAGCTGGTCCTAAATAATGTTTGTGAATTTTAAGTATCATCATTATCACACACACACAAAAAAAAAAAATGTAGGGTATTTTTCATAAATCTCATTAATGTCAGATCAGGGCATGTAGCCACATTTATATATTATATTTTATGTATTTATATTTATCATATGGGTTGTCACTTTTTTTTGTATGTAAATATACAATTGTGGTATCACATGATATTTGGTGCACTAAAATGGTCATTTTCTATGTGTGTTGTGTAATGTACATCAGTAATAACTATTAATTAACCATAATTACATGTAACTAACCCTAAACCAAACCCTAATTCTAACCCTTTAGCAAGTACATGTAGTTACTAGTACTTAAATGTATAATTACACTGTAACAAATACACCTTAAAATAAAGTGTAATATTTGTTATTTTATGAATTGATTTCTTTTCATTATGATTGTTTTGCTCAAATAGGCTTTTGAATTTCAATGTTCCATTGTGAATTTATTACCAAATGTGTGTGCGTGCTGAAAGTAGCCTTTTTTTATAGATACAACTTTTGTTTTAGATTTGTGTTTATACAGAAATCGAGTTTTTACAAAAAAATGCAAACACAAAGTTATCTGAACAAAGTCGTGTGGACTGGTAGGCTAGATGTGGCTGTGTGTTTGGGTTAATCAGTGTCTTTCTCGCTGGATCCCGCACCCCTTGAAACACTCACAGGGGTTTTAGGAACGGCAACAAAACCTACTCCCAGCCACCCCAGCATGCTCACATATCAAAGGCTGGCCGGGGTGCTGTCCATCCCAAAGGGCATTGTCAATGCTGATTAGCGGGAGGGTCACCTCTCTGATGTGATTGGCTACTGAGAGAAAAAAGAGAGGCAGAGAAATGTGAGAGGGGATGTTAATTGTTTTGGCTCTTTTCTAAGGAAA